AAAATATAACTGATAATATGTTCAGGTTATCATGTTTGAGAACTGATCCACGCCGTAGTTCTTTGCAGTTACGAGGATTATTGGATGAATTGTGATAACTATAGTGATATCAGTGATACTAACAGTGACATAATTATGATATTGGTAAAAATTTCAGTAACGCATACCGTATTCTATAAGCCGAATATATCGATGGTTGAATTTATGTGTGATATACTGAATGAACGGTCTGGTCATAACAGTAATTATCGGGGCAGTAATTCAAGAGATGATCGAAACTATTCATTGTACCATCAGAATCACCCGCATCCTCATCATCATAATGGTTGTTGTTCATTCCGTTCGGAATTTTTCAGAGAGTCTTCTCAAACCCGCATAATCAACCCGTCTTCAGTCCTAGTTGCCGTCGCAATAACACAACTCAATTTGTTGATTGGGACCGATTTGGAGACGCCGTTTGATGGGGTTTGTAAGAAACTGATCAAGACCAGTTTTAGGTACCACATCGTATAGCAGACATATTAAGCAACGACGTGACTACTCATCAGGTGATCCAAGTTCCGGAGCACTTTCGGTCTGTATTCTTATTTCATAATTGATCTTAAGTCTTACTATCAGACATTGTCCAGTTCCTAAGCGGCTCAATTGTTTCAGTTTGAACCACACGTAATCAGTGCGATTTTATTAGCCATTTACAAGAAGATTCTTCTCATATTGTAAGCCAAATAATAATCCGTTAACTGCCGTTTTGTCATGGACATTTGAAAGTTCGAATGAACGATTCCGCGGATGTGGATTACATTAGGTAATCAGTTTCAGCCAGACAAATTGTACAAAAGTTTCTCGTTGAGCAGTCATGAGACGAAGGTTTTCGGTGAAGCGGTCAAGGGTATCAAAGTGCGTACGTGTCATCGTGCCGGTGTGGTTCGTGTATATCGTGTGAACAGTCTTCAACTACCTGCTGATCAGCTATGGTTCGTAGCGATCACTTCATTTATCCAAATCGCTATTGCATACTCTAATGTTTAGCCATCTGGGCCATTGCAGCTGAACTCCATTGGTCTTGTATGGACGAAAACGTTGAACTGATACGTGAAATAGAATAAATTTATGAGATAGAGCTCTTTGTAAATGATTTTACCAGTTCTTTGCAGGAGACCAACTAGCGAACGGTTTCAACTGAGACCTACAGAAGAGGTCTGAGTTCCTTAGCATCGATTTCTCCTACATAAACCTGAATTTTTAGTCTGTTGGAAATGAGTGCCTGAAATTGGTATCTATCATCGTCACTTAAGTGTTTGATATGGATGACAAGAGCGATTTCAGGTTTCAAGGTAAGGATGAGGAGGGTAACGAACGTCGTATGACCGTGGCTGGCTATTTCACAGAACGCTATGGTGAACTGAAGTATCCGAAACTACCCTGTCTTCATGTGGGACCAGTAACGCGTAATATTTATTTCCCACTTGAAGTGTGCATGCTGGACACACCGCAGAAGTACAGTAAGAAATTAACCGAAAAACAAACCTCAGCAATTATTCGGGTAAGTCGAAATGTCTTCTGATTCTTCTGAAATATCTGTTGCAGTCATTCGTTTGCATGAGATTGAATTCATTGGCTCATTATAAGATTTAGTTCTCTTCGACAGAATTGATTCCCATCTTTTAAGGGAATATCGGAAATGAATATGTTTTCAGGCGGCCGCAGTTGATGCCACGGCACGTGAACATCGTATAGCAGCACTCTGTGAGCAGGCCGCATTCCAGAAGGATTCATTCTTAAAGGAGTTCGGTTTACAAATCAGTCCGAAAATGTGTGAGACCACAGCTCGAGTCTTGAATCCACCACGGATTCTGTTCGGCGAGAAGAACCATTATTCGGTGAGTTCATTTCATTGAGTGTTGTCAATCGATGTAATCAAAACGATCCGTATTGTGACATGTTCTGTCAGTTGTTGCTAATATGAGACTAATCATAAGAGTCTCTCAGGATCCGGTGGTAGTGCCAAAGGATGGTGCTTGGTCTCTGGACAATCAGCGCCTCTATGTCCCAGCCATATGCCGTAGTTATTCGCTTATAGCGATGATCAACCCACTCGAGCAACGCACTCTCGAGTAAGTGATCGATTTGATTGATCTATTGGATTCAACAATTCAACCTGAATCGAATTCACTGATACCCGATTCATTTAACACAGATTTATTCAAGTAGCCATTGATACCTGATATCTTCTGAAATCAATTAACTCTCAGTGATGACATTGGTATTACTTATCATCTACACTATCTGAATTGCACATTTCATATAATAAAAGAATGTTTTTCAGAGCATTCTGTCACGCTCTCCATCACAAGGCCACTCAAATGGGTATGGGTTTCCCACCGTGGCCAGATCTTCTAAAATATGCTCGTACCAAAGAAGATATCGCCTCGTTATTCGCCGAAGTCGCTACAGAGTATCGTCAAACAGGCACAACATGCGATTTGATTGTTGTTGTGCTACCATCCAAAAATTCCGATGTTTATAGTGAGTGTCTTATTATAAATATTAAAAATAACTTAACCATATATCACCTATCTAAACCCAAATCAAATGTGAGGTTACTAATGAAGTAATAACTTGCTTCTTTACGAACTAAATTGATTTGTTAGGAAGAGACATCTCATGACGTTTACCTTCGATCCAGTTAGGTTGCGATATCCACGATCAAATCATAAAATCGCGCGATCAGTTCTTTCAAATGCTCTACTGAAATGCAATAGATCATTGCAAGTTCATGAAAAATAAATTAGGAAATTTTAGTGACTGTAAAAGAATGCAGCGATATGGTACATGGAATAATGTCACAATGCGTTTTGATGAAAAACGTTTCACGCATCTCGACGGCCACCTGTGCGAATATTGTACTGAAGATTAACATGAAGTTAGGTGGCATCAACTCGAGGGTTCTTGCCGATTCAATCACACAAAAGTATTTGATTGATGTTCCAACGTTGGTGGTTGGAATCGATGTGACGCATCCAACGCAACATGAAGAACGTCAAAATATACCGTCCGTAGCCGCGGTCAGTTTGAGTGTTTTGTTGAGCGACTTCGTTTACTTGATCATGAGGCGATTGATGTTTTCACAACAGAACAGCTGTAATTCCATAGAATTTCCTGAAAACCTTTCGGAATCTGCAGCAGTAATTGATTAGGAGTGAAGTATAATGTATCAGTTTGTTGATCATTTCAGATAGTTGCAAATTTGGATTTATATCCACAATTGTATGGAGCGAATGTGAAAATTCAACGGAAATGTCGTGAATCTGTGGTTTACCTGTTGGATGCTGTTCGTGAACGTTTGGTCAGTTTCTACAAAGAAACGCATCTAAAGCCAAGTCGTATCATCGTCTATCGAGACGGTGTTTCTGAAGGACAATTCGCTGAGGTTTGCATTTCCTCACTTTGAAATTGTCAAATCTTTTCGGAAAATTACTTATTGACATATATTATTCATTACACTCCATTTTCTATTCATACACCAACAATAATTTTAGTCAAATTCGGTTTGCGTGCGATGATTCAATGAGGAGGTATCACAATGTTTAGGTGCTTCGTGAAGAGATGCAAGGTATTCGTACCGCATGCTTAATGTTATCCTCTGATTATCGCCCACCAATCACCTATATTGTCGTACAAAAACGTCATCATGCACGTATGTTCTGCAAATATACTCGAGACTCGGTTGGACGAGCTAAGAATATACCACCAGGCACTATTGTCGATACGGGTATCGTTTCACCGGAAGGGTTCGACTTCTATCTCTGTTCACATTTCGGCATTCAGGTATGATTTTGTTGATATCGAATCATTAGATTCATTTGGTATTTGGTTATCGAATAGAAATTTTTGTTTTTCTTCCATTTACTTCAACTGCGATTTCAATACGTTCATTAGATTCTGGAAGTCTCGTCAGCTGTCAATAGTCACAAAAATGTTGTAGCAGTGAAAAAGAAATTTTATTTGATACGGAATGTATCTTATTCAGCGTTGGATAGGAAATGCAGTGATCGCTTCCAGTAAAAACTTCCTTACGAGTATAGCAGTTCAGAAATTGATATATGAGAATGTTGATGTAGTGTCATATAGTTATAAGTTTTAGGGGACGTCGCGTCCAACACGTTACCATGTTCTGTGGGATGATTCAAAGTTTACATCTGATGAATTGCAAGCAGTCACGTTCAGTATGTGTCATATGTACGGTCGTTGTGCTCGTTCCGTATCGATACCGGCACCGGTCTATTATGCAGACTTGGTGGCCACACGAGCAAGATGTCATCTGAAACGTAAAATGTTCGCAGTTCAATTTCTGACGGAAATTTTATTTACTCTTAATGTATCGTTTCACTTGAAGCCTTTAAAACTTCCATAGTTTTAAAGGCTTCTTTCGTAATCTGACTAATGATCCGTTGAGATCATTTTCGCTCATCAAGTCAGTGAGCTGTGTTCGAAGTCGCTCCGACTATTGGAGACGATTACATGATTGTTCAGCTGTAAAAAGGGCTTATTTAGGGGTGTTCATGAGACCGATGGCACATCGGATGCAGCCTCTATGATTTCCTCTTCATTGGCATCGCTCATATCGGCTGGTCGAATCGCAGACGTTCGTGGTATCTGTGACAATAACAGAGACAATAATAACAACAATAATAATGTCTCGGATGTTGAAAGTGATAAGGCTAGTGCTATTGATAATTACTGATTTTCTGCATATTGCACTAGTGATTTGTAAGGAATATTGAGAGTCCTATGTATTAGCAAAAGTATATACCAAAAAAATACATCTTTCAGGACGGACCGACGCATTCGACGGCAAGTAGCAACAACGATGCAGTGTTACAAGAATTCGTCTCCGTAACGGACAGTTTCAAAGGAAGAATGTATTTCATTTAAGATGATCTCAAGGCAGACTCTCATCAATTCCGTTGTTCACAACATTGATTAAGAATTTCTTGCACTTCGACAAAAGCCTTCCACAATATAACACCTCTTACTCTGATGAAGTGAAGGCTTGCTTGATTCACGTCTCATTTATCTCTTGAAGAATGCCTCGTATCTCAGATAATATATCTCTCATTATACTGTTTGTTTCAGTGAACAGTACGACATCTTTAATGACATTTACATTGATTTATTAATGTTTCCATGCAAGCTGTCTTAATGTCTAATCTTGCCTCCCATCACTTGTATCGTTTCATACCTGCCTTAAAGTCAATTTAATGTCACACATTTCCGATGTTCATCGTGATTCATTCCCTCGGAGCATAATCTTGCCTCCCATCACTTGTATCGTTTCATACCTGCCTTAAAGTCAATTTAATGTCACGCATTTCCGATGTTCATCGTGATTCATTCCCTCGGAGCATCAATTGAACATGCTTTTATTTTTGGTCTATCCAGTTCGCGTCTGATTTATGAACCTGGTCAAAAAAGATAACATAACTTGTGATTGGTACTGTGATGTTTTCCACTTCTCAATGAAGACAATTATTTATATCTTTTTCTGTTTCTGTCCCAAATGCTTTATTATGGAATCGTTCAGATTGTCTATCGTTTTTTTCTGTTCAATGTATAAATGATTATTATTTGGTGTGACATGATATGAAAAAATCTTGAAGTTTCGATTCTTATAAGCGAGATCGATGTCAAGGTTAGATTCAACCTCACTCAAGAATTAAGGTGATTAATTACTCGAGCGAGTGTCGCTTGATGAAATACAGTGATTACTTAAACTAGTCAAGTATTCTAACTTAACCATTTCCACGGTTCTGATCGATTATGTATAAAAATGATCACATTTAAATAAGGGGTTCGGTTCGGTTATCCCATGCAAATCACTGATTCTATGGGAGTGGAATTAATCAAATTTCTGGAAATTAATTACAAAAACGACAGATACTTGTAATACGCATGCATTGTTTACATTATTCTGACCGAGCTTGGCTGTTAGTGCGCAACGTTCTCGTAATGTTGGTAGGGTGTTTGTATAGTATGCGTTATTAACGAATAAATCGAACAACGAACGTGAAGTCTCAATTATGATGACCACTCATCAGAAGTATTGCTGGCGATGAGTGCGTAACGCAATTTACTTCAGGAACTATTTTCGGTGTTCCCTATAATTGCAAGCACATTACCATGGATAATGCTGGTTTTCACTTGCTGTAGTAAAAAGAAGAAACGTAAGGACGAAGGCAAGAAAGGCAGTGGTGGTAGGTTTTTGGATGATTACATAAATCGTCAGATCTTGAATGGAAGAAAAGGAAGATCACCACTGAGTCCAGATTTACCGTCATAGGATAGTGGCGGCGAACTATTGCAAGATCGTCTAATCACGATCATGTGCCTGGGCTTATTTCTACGATGCAGCCGTGAACTTTCAATAAGAGATTAT